TTTGTACTAAATTTTATCAAAATCCGCTTAGCCGTTTCAGCGTGAACGGATAGCTTGTTTTTCATCTTTTATTATAACTTCAATTTCGAGTCAAAATGAAATCCATATTAACAATAAAGTAATTAAATAATTCTAAGCGGAAAGAATCAATTGAGATACTAAAACATTTGTATAAATAGTTTCCGTGTTTCTATATATAATATAACGTATTTCCGCTTTATTAAATATTAAAAATATCTAAACTCGGTAGCAATTCTATTCCACTACGATGAATAAAACCCAGACAAAGTTATACTCTAAAGCTTATAATACATACATACATATAAAATGTAGTTCAAATATACCTGAATAGAGGGTCCTCGCAGTGGAACGACGTGGAGCATGAAAATTGGAGTAGTTCTGTCAAAGGCATTTTAAATTAGACGGGGAATGCAATTTACTGAGAAGCCTTTCATTTCCAACTTTCAGCTTTTTCATACATTATGCTCGAGAACTTTTAGATTTATTTTTAGAACTAGTTGTAGTTCCCATATTTGTCTACCACACTATAGATAAAAAATACCCATACGACGCGGACGATCGGCTGATTTTATATTATAAGCTTATGTTTTTTTGACCGGAAGCCTAATTCTTTTACTGAAATAAAAGTAGCCTAAGTTACTCCTTATAACATCAACTACCTGCCAGTAAAAGTCCCGTCAAAATCGGCCCAGCCGATTTGGAGATTAGCCAGAACAAACAAACAGACAGACAGACAAAAATCTAATAAATTGTGTTTTTCTTATAAACTCGGTATTAATGTTATTCAATAAATTTAAACAAATACATATTTTAGTATTTTTTAAAATTCATCCCATAAAGTGGTAAAATAGGGGATGAAAGTTTGTATGAAACTATCTTTTTAGAGATTTTTTTGTAGTTTTAGCGCGAGTGAAGCCTCGGGTTCTGCTAGTGTTTTTATATTTTTAAGAAATGTTATGTTAGTTTGGTCGTCTGTTTGTATATACGGTATATCAGGGCCATATTCGGAGACTATTTGTAGGTACATCAGATCACTAGAATTTTATTAATAAGTGTCTGATGCTAGACAATGGATGACGAATGAATGACACTCCATACATGCACCGTGGGGTGAAAAAAAAACTTGAGTCCACTTAAGCTTATAGGGTATCTCTTGATAAGTCTTAAATTTAAATTTGTTGCTAAGCCACAATTCGTTTAATAATTTAAACCTCATCCTAACTAAACTTTTGAAGTATAGGATGGAAAGTCATGAAACAAATTGAGATATTACCTATAGCTTTCAAAATACTTTTAACTAAAATTAATTTTCATTTTCAATAAGATACGTGTTTTAATTTTTCAAATTTTTCTTCTAATGTAATAAATAACGAGTGCTAAAGAAGCCCAAGCCTAAAAGATAACATAAATTCCAATGGAACCCTCGGTGTGCAATTCAGGCTCTCATTAGACTTATTTATGTATCTATACATTCGTAGCATACAAATAATTACATAAAGAAATTTTATTATCAAAATATAACCCCGAGTTATTATCCTTCCAAATTAAATTATCCTTAAAATGTTGAGAGGCTTAACAAAACTAGGAACTATAATAAATTCACTTTATAATATAAGATCGAACAAAGCCTTTAAGGCTGTCCAATTAAATTTACTGAAAGTCTACAAAACTGAAAATATTATTAATAGCGTTTGCTTTCAGCCAACTGTAAGCCTTGAGCTAACGAGCTGCCTGTAGGCCAGGGTTTCCCAACCTTTCTTCTGTTGAGCCTCCCGGATAATTAAAAATATTTATTTACAAGCCCCCCTTTTTTATTTTTTTATTATGAAACACATTATTTTAACGATTTTTATTTATTTTATTTTTTAGTTTTACAAAATACACTCTCTTTACGCCTCCCTAGGGGAGCGTATTCCTTGGTTGGGAACTCCTGCTATAGACGTTCTAGGTATACGTCTTATTATATGCAAATATATTATATATAAATCTAACTAGTGGTCGCCCAGTGATCGAAGGTTGACCATCATATTTTTCTTATTACTGATAAGTGATAATGCTAAGCTATTAAACAAAAAAAAAGGAAAATAGGTGGACAAACAAAGGAGAAAAAAGTACTGAACTATTTTGTCTTTGCATACACACCTGCTTTATATACCTATGTATATAGAATATAGATACTAAATATATATGTATTGTATAGATATATTAGTATTTATATAGATGTATTTAGAGAATAAGTGATAGCGCTTAGCTGGTGTAATACCTTTATATGGTAGATACATTGCTTTAAAAGTAATAGTTGATTTTTTAGTAAATATGATGGAAAAATAATAGCAATAACGTGTCCATCGCGAAAATATCTTCCTATCTATCACTTGTATTTACTTCGAGTTGATCAAAGAAAATTCTTATTTGTATAATATTACAACAATTTCAACAATTAATTTGCAAATCATTAAATGTTAATAGCTTCTCGTTTTATAGCTACAAGATGCGACATGAGGCTTACTTTGCTGCTGTTTGTAATAAGATATAATAGCATTGCTGTAATAATTTGTCTGGTATTTCTGTTACGTCCATCTATACATATAATAAAATTGTAACTAAGCCGAATATGTACATTAAATATTTTTTGGAAAATCTTATTGAAACAAACATTATTATCGATACAGAGGCCGAATCTATAGTTTTTAGAATTTTTGCGTGTCTGTCTGTCTGTAATGGTTACGATTGAATCATTTTATATTGAACTAGATTAAACTAGGGCCTCCATAGTTTTAATTTTACTTTAACCAAAATTACCACTCTCTAACTCATTCGTGTCTACCTCACAATACGTATTGCGTCTGTTAGCGTAATTCCAAGCGATTACGGAAAAAAATTTGATACAAAATGCCTAAAAAAATAACAAGTTAACATACTTTTGGATACATCGGACGCCGGCCATCTTGAAATGTCAATATTCGACTCCTTTAGCAGTTAACTAGAACACTTCTTGACAGTACCTAATGGCGGATGTAAAATAAAGATTTTCAACACGTTCAAAGCCATAGGACCAGCTAGTATGCGATGTCGATGGAAAATCAGAACAAAATCAATTACATAATTACTGTATGACATACACACATCCGCAATATCTTTGATTGAGGAGCTGGTATTGTCTCCACGCAATGACGCGTGGCGCCGGCGCGGGCGCAGGACTACTCACATTTTTATTTGCATTGCATCATATCTAAATACTGTAAAAGTATTATACTTATTAATTTTTGCTTGACAACAGTGAGTACATGATTTGAATTTGATCTTTTGGAAGGAAGGAAATCTAGATTTTTGTTTTTTAATGCATTTATTTTTTTATCGGTTTGGCCTACATATAGTAAACTCTGAAATAATAGTTTTTCCAATAAAAAGACTTATTACTTTTATTTTTTTTGCCGATTAGGTTTATTATTTGCTATTAGAATTTAGGACCAAGAAATACATACTCCATCAAATCTTTATTGTTTATTATTACTGTCGAAAAGTATAACTTATTGTAAAAACCAGTCATATCTTATATACTTACATATAATAAAATCATAACTAAGCCGAATCTGTACATTAAATATTTTTTGGAATAAACATTATTATCGATACAAAGGCGGAATCTATAGTTTTTAGAGTTTTTGTCTGTCTGTCTGTTACCGCATCACAGAAAAACCACTGGAGGGATTTTTGGATTATTTTGGTCATCTGAACGCGGGCAGAGCCGCGGGCAATGCTAGTTATAGATATAAAATTTGTAAGTTTGGAATTACTGTATATTGTGTCTCTGGAATTACTGAACAGATTTAGATGAATTTTGGAAAAAGATAGTTTGAGACCCTGGGAAGGGCATAGGATAGTTTTAATAAATGAAAATGGGAATGAAAATTTGTATGGGAAAACTACCTAGGACATCCGAGCAAGGCGAGGGTGAATCGCTAGTAAATATATAAATAGATAAAAATAATATAGAACTAAATTAGGAACCTCGTGTTTTTTAAGTCGGTTACAATAATATGGATCTAGCTAGCTTATACCTTCGTAGAAAAATTTATCATAATGTTATATTTATTTAAATCAATACTTTGCCAATGATAAAGATTTAAAAAAAAAACTAGAACTAAGCAATCATGACGTGACATGTATTTTCCCTGAACTGTCTACTAAGAATTGCGGATTCGATTCCAGTTGAGGCAGAATGATTACCGGTATGCTTTTAAAGGTATTCTTGTTTACTGCGTGAAAAAAGGACAAACAAGCTTTCATTATTACATATACATAATTAATCGATAATAGTAAAGATTTATAACAAATTAACTCTCATTATACAGAATTATACTCGTATTATATCATATTCTTTTCAATACACAAATTACTGTAATTCTATTCCACTTTGACCTAATTTCTTTGTTCCAAAATACCAGTATCGTTTATGTTATTATGATCCTTAGTCACGACAACAAAAGTTTTTACGATATGGAAAAGTCATTTAACTATGTATATATAAATACTAAATATTATTTATATTATGAAGAAACTGCGTCGCGATCTAGTGGTTAGCATGTACGGCTGTATATTCAGAGGTCCTGGGTTCGAGTTTAGGTCAGTATGTATTTTTCTGTCAAAAAATTCTCAGATACGCCAGGAGTTCGGAAGTTCACGGTGTTACTCCGTGTGTCCAGTGCTCTCCACGTGTATCCATCGATCCTGCGCATAATCTCTCACTGAGTGTTGAATTGTCATGCCAATGGAATAGATGAAAAAATTTGCATTTAACATATACCATAGAGTTGCGTGGAAGACCCTATGCGGCACGGTCGTGTTTTTTGCAAGTAATAATTATACTGCTACGCGTTGAGATAAGAAACCGGTTTGCCCGCTAGCCGTGTGCATTTTGCACTAACGGGCATTCTAGTGGACAGTTTACGTAAACAATATTATGTTTTATAATTATTATGAATAATATCGCAAATAGCACGTCGCCCGTGCTAAATAGCATGGAGAATAGGAGCGAAGTAGAACAATATAATGAAAATGAAGAATTATTTCGAGTGGAGGAGACTGAAGAAAATACAAACCTATATACAAAAAAAAGATATCGAGATGAGGATGACACGGAGATGTGGACTTTAGTGTCTAGAAATAGCAAAAGAAAGTATCGTAGAAATTTATCAGAAAAAAGTTTAGAAGAAATAGATGATAAAATAGAAGTCTGTATTACAAGTAAAGAAAAAATTCCTAAGCAGATAGAATTGGCGAGGTTTTTGAAAGAACACAATATATTAAATATAATAAGAGTTAAATATGCAACACCTTATAAAATTTTTGTTTTATTTGAAGAAGAAAGCGATGCAGAAAAAATGATTACTTGTACAGCGTTGCAGGAAAAAGGCTGGAAATGCTACAAAACAAGTGAAGTCGGATTTTCCTATGGCATTATCAGAGATATTGAGTTAGATCTGTCTGAAAAGGATGTACAATTGAGCATTTCGTCGGATTTAGAGATAATATCAGTTAAAAGATTATTTCGTAGAAATGATGAAATCCCTGGTTGGACTGAAAGTGAAACGATTCGCCTTTGTTTTAAAGGTTCCTCCTTACCACCACATATTTTCATATATGGCTTAAAGGTAAAGGTCGAACCATACATATTCCCTGTGACGCAATGCTCCAAATGTTGGAGATTTGGCCACACTCATAAATTTTGTCCTTCAAAAAGTATTATATGCCCCAAGTGCACAAAGAATCATAATAATTGTGAAACAAACCAGTTTAAATGTATTAATTGTGGTGGGCAACACATGTCGCTAGTACGAACATGTCCAGTATTCCTTAAGGAAAAAAGAATCAGACAGTTAATGGCAGAGTTTAATTGTACTTTTAGAAGAGCAACTATGATGTATGTGCCCCCATCTCCTCAACCAGAAAAAGAAAATAATCTGGACATAAATGTAGATTTTCCTGCACTTAGTTCAAACCCGGAGCCTGCTACAGTCATGAATCAACCACAAAGCTATTCAGAAGTAGTAAAGTCCGCTAAGAAGATAAATAGTGTCGAAAATAAAAATAAAAGAACAAAATGTAAAAAGAAAAATATTTCAAAAAAAAAAAATAGTCAATCACGAAACACAATGGATTGGGATATATCATCGGATTCGGAAGTAAATATTGAGGTGACATCAAATTATTCAAAGGAAGAACAAAAAAATAATAGCGACCATATATCATTTAAACAACTTTTAGAAAAATTGAAAAACATTATATTTATACGTAGAATATCTCTGAAGGAGAAAATTACAGAAGCTTTAGCAATTATATGGGAGTGGCTGATTTCTTTATGTAAGACCAAAGTTTTAGAGTTACCAATATTCAAAAATATATTTGAATCTGTAGATGGATAATTTACCATTTGGAAGCTATATTAAACTTAATATTTTGCAGTGGAATGCACAAAGTTCTAAACCTAAATTAAGTGACTTTGAGCTACTATTAAATCGGGATAAAATTCACATTGCAGTGATTAGTGAAACGTGGTTGAATGAGAGAGATGATATAAGAATCTCTGGTTATAACATTTATCGCTATGATAGATCTGATGGATATGGAGGTGTCGCTATTATTTCTCATCATTCTGTTAGAACGGAGGTTTGCCAACTTAATATAGGTAATTCAGATATTGAACTTTTACGTGTCAAAATTCATAATTGTAATAATCTTGAAAGTATTTATGCTTTATATTGCCCTCCATCCGCACGAACCTCGCAAAGTAATTGGGATGAAATTTTTTCAATAATCACGCAAAGATCTATAATATTAGGTGATTTTAATGGCCATCATCATAGCTGGTCAAATAGAACAGATAGAAGAGGAATTCAGATTTTTGATTCACTTGTAGATAGCCGCTACGTAATCCTCAATAATAGTAGTTTACCAACCCGTGTTAAATTTGTAAATAATAATTTGCAAAAATCCTCTCCGGATTTATCCTTAGTATCATCGGACATTGCCTTAAATTGTGAATGGTTTGTAACAAACGAGTCCCTAGGAAGTGATCATCTAATAATTAAGTTAACTCTAAATTACAGCGTACCTCCTAATCACTTTATAAAAAAGCGGAACTTTAAATTAGGTAAGTGGGAGCCATATCGTTCCGAAATCAATTCGTCACTGAATGATCTCGGTTTTCCCGTAAACGCGCAATTAGGGTACGATATGTTGCTTGATTGTATGAACCGTGCAGCAGACAAGTATATCCCTTTTATTAAATTTATCCTAAACCCTAGTAATGTCTTTAAACCTAAACCATTTTGGAATATGATTGTTTCGAAGTCTATAGCTGAACGATGTCTAGCACTTGTTGTATTTAGAGATAACCCAACGCCAAATAACCTTGATATTTTACAAAATAAAGTAGGTGAAGCTCAAAGAATATTACGTCAGTCGAAATCAAAATCATGGCAAAATTTTTGTAATGGTTTATGTGAAGTGTCTTCAATAAACGAAATGTGGTTTCGAATGAAATGGATAAAAGGGAGATATTCTAAAAAATCTTTTATTAGTAGTGATAGTGCAAGGGACCTCCTTCAAAGTCTTGCCCCTGATTTTGTTGTTAATAATTGTCCTACATTTAGATCGAGTAACTACTATTTAGAAACATCAATTTCTAGAAAGGAATTAGAAGTTTCTATCAAATCAAAAGATACGGCTCCGGGAGTAGATATGATTTCATTTTCAATGATCAAAAACTTACCTGAAAGTGGTAAAGATTGGCTTTTGAATCTTTTTAACATATTTCTCAAAGATGGAATAGTTCCAAAGCAGTGGCGAGAGATAGCTATTATTCCTTTACCGAAACCTGGACGTGATCCACACTCAGTATCATCTTTAAGACCTATATCTTTAATGTCCTGTATATGTAAAGTTTTTCATTCAATCCTAAACAAAAGACTTGAATGGTATTTTGAAAGATCAAATACCTTCTCTGTAGATACTACGGGTTTCAGGAAAGCTCATTCTTGTTTAGATAACTTATGCAAACTAGTTTTATGTATACAAAAAGGATTTGGACTAGGCAATTCTACCTCTTGTTGTTTCATTGACATTGATGGAGCATATAAACATAGATATATCTAAACTTTTAACTTTGATGGACATCCATCCAAAGTATTTAAAAAAGTTATACATTTCTATACTAAGAAGTAGAATTGAATACGCGAGTTTTCGGAAAATATTTGTTAAAAGCAAAATCTTTAGAAAACAACAGTAAAATGAGAATAAAAAAAAAAAAAACATATACCATCCCTCCTTTTGGGAGACCTCCCAAAACCCTCTGGTCGTTTTGGATGGGGAGTCAGACAAATTTAAATAAAACTATCTTTTGGGAGAGGTCAGTCTCTCCCGTGACCTTGATTGCTGGAATCAAAAATCAAAATAAATCCGCGAAATAATCCGAAAAGATTGTTTTATTTAAAATGTCAAATATTCGCGTAAATCTAAGAAAGTATTTATATATTATATAAGAAGATAATAATAGTATATAAGACAAATTTACTAAGAAATTACCCTAAATTTCAAAATCGGGCGGGTTGAGGACATGCATGGTTGGAAGTGGGGCTTGGTAGGTCAGCAGCAGGTTGGAGTGTGTAAATAATCCTGCGACACCCTCTTACACAAGGTTCCATTAAGTTGTAGTGGGTATTGGTTTTTCGAGCAGACAAGTCTCAACGTGATCTGTACATCGTTCTTCCCGAGTCACTTGGGCCATCTTTCAAGTACCTGAGTAAAGCCAAGTCGGTAGTAATAAAATAAAACTATTTGATCATGGTATCTCTATTAGATATTTTAATCAAAATATCCTGTTTATTTGCTACGGGTTAATACCCACTTGACTACTAAGTGGTGGGCGGAAGTCATTTTATTATTTGCATATTAGGAAAGGACTGTTATTGTTGCCATTTTTGTTAAGTAATAGGCACGATTAGAATGTTTTAATTATTGACATTTATTTAAATACAAAAAATCTTGTTTTAATTATTTATATTGTCATGTAATTTAATGAATTGCTTCATACTAAGTTCATTAATCTTTTTCTAATTTCTAGGTAACGTCTTTGCGTGTACAAAAGCTATTTTATCTTAATACCGACATCTAGTGATGAATATTCGAACTTATTTTTTAAATTTTATTTTTGTTTTCATTACGATTTTCTCTAACTCCTGTAGAGGTTAACTGGAGGAATAGTCCTCTTGCATTGCTCCCGCTCAACACCCTAGGGAGCTGGGTGTAACTGAAAATCAGCGCTGCTTGAGATTTAGGTCTTAGCAGCATTAGCTGAGTTATTACCCTTTGCCATAAGTTACTTTAAGCTTTACTGATTCTGTTAACATTTTTTACTGTTTTTATGGCAATAAATACTTCTTATTATTGTTATTATTTTAGTGAAAGCTCGTAATGTTTCTGGCTTTTCCTAGAAAGATTTTTATTTTAAGAACTAAGTATATAATTTGAATGCAACTTTAATCGATCGTGTAAGCTAATATTTTTTAAACTTTAATCGATTCATTAAAAATTACTAGCGACTCACCCTCACTTCGCTCGGGTATGTCCCTAGGCCCGTTTTAATTTTTTTGAGCGGAACCCTAATTCTTTTTCTAAAATAAAAGTAGCCTATGTTATTCCATATAACATCAGCTATCTTACAGTGAAAGTCCCGTCAAAATCAGTCCAGCTGTTTCAGAAATTATCCGGAACAAACAGACAGACAGATAGAAATTACAAAAAATGAGTTTTTCTTATAAGTACCGTATATAATTTCATATGCATTTAGTAGAATGCTGTTATTTTGACATTACAAACAGACACTTCAATTTTATTTATCTGTATAGATATGGTTAGATCAATTTGCATTAAAACAAAATTATGACGTTTCAAAAATAGTCGATGGGTCCAAAGATTACTACTTTTGATTACCTCACGCGGGCAAAACCGTACGTAGTATTTTATGATTAGTTAATCAAAAATCGCATTAAAGTACGCGTGTCTCGTACCAATTTATAACAGTTGTCTAGCAACATGTCTCATTCACAACGGTAAGCGCTTTCTTCGCCTCGTAAATAAAACAGTATGGCGCGGCGGGTTGACATTGATAATTTCAATTCAGGGAATAGGTAATGTATAATAGGCAGTGAACATAAAGCCAAACAATGATTTAAAATAATCTATAAGTATTTAAAAATTATAACTGATCGAGTCTGTATATAAAATATTTATTGGAGAATCTTATTGAAATAGACATTATTATCGATACAGGGGCCGAATCTAGTTTTTAGAATTTTTGTCAGTCTGTCTGTCTGGGAACGCATCACGAAAAACATTAACACACATCACCATCAAGTTCCATAGTAAGCTACGAGGCCTGTGTTATAGATACCAGATAGTTGACACACTATACTTATATAACTTTAAATAGATACATATTAATTAATAAACACCCGTGACCCGAGTACAAACATTCGTGCTCATTACACGAATGCCTCCAGCGGGACTCAAACCCGCGACCGGTTAAACAGCAAGTAGGGTACAAACCGAGACTAAGGTGTCGTCTTTGATGATCTGTGGTAGAATTTATTTTCAATTCTCAATTTTTAGTATTTAAAATATCTTTGATCTTTCCTTACCATAGAAAGATACTAGAAGCGAGAGTAAAAATTACCCTTCATTAGATTATTAATCACTGAGTACATTCGTTAGAATTTGTTTTACCAAGCCATGAGCAACCCCACTCAAAATATTACAAAAATAAACAAAATTTTAATCTATAATTCAGGCAGCTTAGAATTTATTTTGTTTAAAATATAGTGATCTAATTAAACATTGTACAGACATTTTTAAGGTATGTATGTAAAAAAGTCGTTTTTTTATAACTCATTTTGCTAATTAAATTAATAAAAATAAAACTATATCACTATGATAAAATAATGCATAAAATATATGCATTATATCTTATATGTATATCTTAATTATTTATCAACTAAAAAATATACTCATTATCTAAACCAAATCTTTCAACTAAAAATATGAAAATAAATGAAAAAACGAGCAAATCAGTTAAAAATATTTATTTATTAAAAGGCAGTTGTGCCTACGCGTCGGCAATGGTGACTTCCACTTCTACACCCGGCTCGATGTTGATGGATGTGATTTGCTTAACAATCTCCGAGGGGGAGTGTAAATCTATCACTCTTTTGTGGATCCTCATCTGGAATCTGTCCCAGGTCTTGGAACCTTCACCACAAGGTGTTTTACGGGTTGTGATACGGAGGATCTTCGTTGGCATGCGGACTGGTCCCTGGAAAAATTATATATTTTCATTTAATAATAACAATTTAGGGAGGTAAAGTATAAGTACATATAATATAGGCTTGAAATTGAGGTTAACAAATTTTAAAATATATATTAACCGTAGCAAATACACAACAGTTTTTGAATATTGGAGAATAGGATACAAAACATAAGTAAGAACCATCCAGGATAAACCAGAACTCAATAAAAAATCCCGCATTGAAATCTGTCCATCCGTTTATGAGTTATGATGCCACAGACAGAAACATAGATACACAGATATACACATCAAACTTATAAAAACTCGGCTTTCTGCATGGCGGGTTAAAAATAATAACTACTTCAATTTTAAATTAAGCAAAAAATAACTGTTGCTTCCCTATGAGCAGAGTATAGTATAAATTCCTATACACTGCACTTTGAAAAGCTGTGTTCTAGCGCCTGTTTGGTGAACATATCAAGCAGAAACTTGGCATGTCTTCATCATGGCGCTATATTAGTTGGATTAACTAAAGGTGGTTCCCGATAGCCTATCTCTCTGTGGTTTTCCTTACTAGTGATAGGAATTTAAAATAATGTGTTTGTGTATGTATGTGTTAATGTGGAATTTAAGTCACATTCCTAACTCTAGTAAGGAAGATAGATAAGTTATGCCTTAATGGAACAAATGTAAAAGATTATTATCTCTTTCACATTAATAATGTTAATTAATAAAATTTGGTTACTATAAAAAACCCATAATCAATTATAATGAGCCAAAAGAGCTTTAATAAATCAAATTTGAAATCATTTTTATTGAAATTTCATTTATATTGTTAGGATTTTTTTACTTTTAATTTAAAAAAGTTATTAACTTACATCATACATACATACTATTATTATTAACAATAATGGTATCTTAATATTATATTGTTAAATCATGTAGTAGTACATAGTATTATGAATAACATTACAGATTTGTGTTGCTAAAGCTAACCATGTGCTGGAGTATTTTATTAATTATTACATTGAAAATAATTACCTTTACACGCAGCTTCTGTTTCTTGGCACCGTTGATAAGATCGGCGCAAACCTTCTCAAGGGAACGCACATTGCGGGATGTCAATGTGATACGGATACGGTGGATGGGGGAAACCTCTGCTTGGGGCTTCTCAATATCCTTGCCTGACACGACGGCGGCTGCCTGAAAATTTCAGATTTTGAATGATATTACTAAAAGGTGCATTAAGTAAACAACTTTACGTTACTTTATCATACCCTATAATATACAGGGAACAAGTTAGGATTAAATATTTTACACTTACAGCATTGTTATATAAAAAGAAATATAATCCTAAATTCCTAATTATAAGCAAGTAGAAAATTAAAAGTAACTTTTGACACGTGTTGACATAACCTACAATTTATATTTTAATGGTCAAAAAGATTGTGAAATTTCTACAGAATAACGTCAATTATTTTGTTATTTATATTAAATTGTTTACTTACCATGGTAATACGATTTCCCGGTCGAGATAAACAACTTTTCAATCAAAAATTGCTCAGCGCTGAACCGGAGAACAGTTCAACACAAATGTCACATGAAAAGAGACAATTAAAGATGGCGCGCTAGCCTACATTGACAACTGTCACACGTTCTGAAATTTTAAAAATGAACAATCTAAATTTCTAACATATTTTATTTTCTTTTAATTAGTGATATACTTTCATTAAACATTAAACAAAGATTTTAAATATAAAACTAATTTAAGACTTATACATATAGGTCATACTAATAATAATGGTTAAGTATAGTTCAGAACTGTTAAGTTTCGAGAAATCAAACAAAAAAGGACATTTTCTATAAATTTATATCCCACATAATAGTAAACATGATTTACGCAAAATTATTGTAAGCCTGAGCTTAAGTTACAACTTAAAAAAGGATAACCTCCAAAACACCAAATTAATATTTTTAATTTTTAACTTATGAATCCATAAAAATATACATTTTTTTTAGATATATTAATGGTCTTAGCAGTAAGTATTAGGTAACTAAGTACTAAATAATATACATTAAGTATTTTCAACTTATAATTTATTTCTTAGTAATAAATAAAATTAATTAAAGATTTGACGATCCGTACAAACAATAACTACAGTAATGGAATATTTAGATATCTTTAATGAAAGTAAGATTATATAATAATAAACAGCTGGGCTAAAGTGTCTTCCATTATTTAACTTTGTTTAAGCAGATCTGAATAAATTAAACATTGTTTATCATAAGGTTCTTTACTTGTTTATCGAATTTGCTGAAAAAGAAATAAATATAATTTTAGTAATTTGTACAAATAAATTCATAATAATATTACGATACTAAATATAATTTCTTACGAGGAAACGATTTGGTCTCCAGGCAAATGGAATGGATTGCAAATAGCATCTGCATATAGAGCATGAAGTCTGCGCAAAGCAGTCCTCACTTCAGCATCGCGTATGTTACTTCCGCTTGGTGAAGTAGAACTTGTTACGAGGACTAGCTTTATTCTAGTATTAGTAACATAACCATATCTGAAAATTAGCACATTAAATAGAAAATCAATAATTTTATGTTTTCGTTACTAAACCTATTAGTATTAATACATTAGGTTTTTTGATGAAGTAAAAAAGATAAACAATATGTATACATCTTATGAGTGTCCGTAGAATAAAGAAGTCCCAAGTACAGATCTCGTAAATCAGTTCGTGTAGTATTTGCGGCGGTATTTGCATTGTTAGAGTTAGTTGTAGCCAGTCGTTCTTCTAAAGCATCTAGCGCAGTATGAACCAGCCATTGACGAGATAATTCATTATCAGTACTGGTATCATTACCAATACCTCCGATATAAAGCGGGGAATTCTGAAAACAATATTAATCCAACTTATATTCTAATTTTAATAATTATTATAATATAGACGAAACAACTTTAAAAAATATATTTTGTTCTTTGTACTTTGTAGTTATCCTACTAAAGATTCTAAATTTATGGATCGAAAAACTTGACAAATTGTCTCTGGTTATTATGACAACAAACATTAACTTTGACGTATGTAATTACTACAATACAAATTTGCCAGTGCCCAGTATACAAAGAAAATTGCTTAAAGCTGATCGTGTTACTTTTAATTATATACATGGGCTTAAAATATTAATCAAAATGTGCAGTTATGGATTCTAACTAAAGACAGTGGCTAATACTTACATCTTTTCCGATAACAGCGACACAAACAGCCATTGTGTGCGAAAATCGAAGAGGAAGTGAATCAAACGTCAAGACACTGTATCCAGAATATAAAACGCGGGATAATTTAAATTATTTTTTTTGTAGTGTCGAATAAACAAGTAAATGGGGTTTCCAAGTTTATTTTTTTAAACCCGACGATAAACATTTATTCTAAAAAGATAAATAAAGTCCCCAAAATTGTGTTCGCATTATTATACCGCTCTACGATCATGGCAGACCGGCAGGAAGCCGAGTTATTATACGAAACTGATGAAAAAGGTCAGCTAGTTGTTGTGAAATCATTGCAATCAGCATCACAAGCCTATTTACGCTTCACGAATAAAACGTCTCGACCTATTGACATTTGGTGGCGAGATTTTGATGGCGCTAAAAGGCACTATGAACGATTAGAAGCAGGCATGCATTACGACGTAAATTCCTTCATAACTCATCCTTGGGAGTTCTCGGACGCTGCAACAAAAGAGCGATTTGTTATTAACAACAAACATGTTTACAGACCGCCAGCAAATATCGGTGGCATGATGTATAGAACAAATTGGAATATAACTATTGGTGTTAGAACACTTCGTCACACTGCTTTATTAACACTAGCAGCCCATATATCAAATCCTAATAGAGTTGATTCTCTTGGTTTACCGAAGGTTCTTAGTGAAGAGCTAAAGAATCTGATCACTTTGATCCACAACCCACCTCCTGAGCCAGTCGAGCGACGAGATTGACGCCAAATTATATTTACAATAGTTGTAATGGTAATATTTCTATACCTGACGTGGTGTTACTTTCATTACCTTGTGACAAAGGTATTTATAAAGCTATTTAAATAACAATATACTAGTTTTTTAAGATATAATAACCTTATTGTAGCTAGGAGAGTTGATAAACTGGAATATGAGATGAAAAGAGAGAATAAAATGTCATTCAATTTTTTTTATATAATTTGTCCATTTTATATGGAGATCGAACACCAATTTTAACATATGCTCAAAGGTTCCCTCAATTAGTTCTAGCTACATCTATGTGACTAAGTGTTTATTGATATTTTAATAACTTTATTAACAATTTATTACAATGTTGAATCAGATACTGATAAAATATCTCATTTTGACTCTTATCTTTTATGTGAAGTCATCATTTGTAATTAACTAATTACTGCCCCAATAATATTTATATAAAATTATATTATAAATAAACATTTATTTACTATTAGGCTAATCCATGTTTCTTGGATGTGATAAAGAGATATTGGATTGTATGCTGAATCAAAGAATATTGTAAATGAATTAAAAGTGTCATAGCTAGGTTTTATATAGGTATAGAAAGGCCATTAAATATAGTCCCCCAAACCCCATAAAGTCAGCGACTATGGCCTGATCCCCCTCGTATTGAAGGGAGGCTGGTGCCCAGTAGTGGGACGTTAAAAAGGGCTGAATACAAACAACAACACATAGATAGGCCTAATATGCACATAGTTCAGTCTCAAGTAATTAGAATAGGACCTTTTTTATTATGTCTATATTGTCTTTGCCCAAACTGCAACATAAAAGGGTAGATAATTTAAAAGAAAATAATATATAAATCAAATTTAATATATAATGTGACATCTCTATTAAAATGTATATATTATTATGAAACTTATGATACAATCAAACATATTCACATTCACCATCTTATTAATAGTAATTTAAGATCAAACTAGAGTCCATCATCTTTTTCTGAAAAGAAATCACAATTACAATATTAATTATTATAAAGTTTACATGCTAGAAATAATAAATAATTTGTATATAGATTATATTAACAAGGAAATTCTAATATAAGCATTTCGTTCAGAAATTAAATATGTAACTTAAATGATTTTGATTACCAATATTGCATTTCTTAGGATTACAGCACAAAATGTAATGTTATTAATAGTTTTGTAATATATTTTATTATTAAATTAACAGTGTATAAATGTGTAAAAATTAATATTTTCTTACCGTAATGGCATACAAATGTAAATACATGGTATTAAAAAAAAGTGTGTGTGTGTGTGCAATTCACAAATGGTAAAAGTGAAACTAATAATATATTTGTTAGAAATTACAAGGGTTACCATGGCAACATATTCTATCTCATTCTCTCGTCGGTTTAATCCTATATATTTATGTGTTTGTCTCTTTTTAGTGTCGCATTTTAGTTTCATTGGTTTCAAATCACAACGATTCTAAATAAGTTTCACTTCAAAAAAATGATATCTCATGGATAACCATGTGACGCATGTGCTTATACTGTGGGTTGACCTTGTCAGATACCAATGTATGAAATAAAAATTAACTGTTAGTATGTTGTAAGTTATGTTAATAAAGTAGTTCTTCTTCGGGGCTCTGTTTACATGTCATGAATCCCATTAATATTATAAACGCGGAAGTTTGGATGGATGGATGTTTGTTATTCAATTACGCCAGAACGGCTGAACGGATTTGGATGAAATTTGGCATAGAAATAGATTATAGTCTGGAATATTTATCCCGGAAAAATGTACGGTTCCCGTGGGATAGATTTGGTTTTCACTAGGGACGAACTCGAGACAAGGTGAATAATTTGTAGTATTAAAACCGAGACCTGTAATCTTGACTAGAATACATGGTATGAATTACCTTTATCTATTATGACTTTTGATTGAATTTAATGAAATTTATTGAGTTGTTAAAAAGTATTAAGAAGATACAAACACACGCTTCAATACGAGTTATGAAAATTTTTATTGACACAATTACGTTATCTTCATAGAATGTGGAATTTGTATATAGTTTTATTATAATTAGATAACATATCTATTATTATATTATGTTTTAAGAAAAAGCTGACTTATATGTTTTGATACTGGAGTACTTAATTTCTATTTTAAGAAACACCACGTCTTTAGAAATTTTGAAAATATTCTAATTCATATCAAGTTCATACTTTACAAAAGAAAATGTCCGAGCCGTGCTTCAAAATTAAGTAATCGTAAAGTTGTTTCTTAATTTGATGTACATTTTTATCAATTCATTGTAAACAAATCGAATCTATTGTATATGTATACTTCTACTTATAATTAAGATGTATAAATTGTATATATTTGCGTAAATATGCTTTTATTTTGATATGAACGGTTAAATCTATATGCCATATTATAAATCAATATTAAAGATTATACGTAAGAAATATTCTAATTATATATTACATTAATAAATGATTTTTTTAAACGGTTGTTTTAATTTACATTTATTTCCGTTTTCATAGTTACGTTTTAGCGGTTAGTATAGATTTCTCGGAGATATTTTCCCGCAGTAAAAAGTATCCTATATGTTGATCCGGATAACCAGCTACCATGATATCAAATTTAATCAAAATCTGTCCAGTGGGTTTCTCGTGACGCGGTCACAGACTATAACAATTAGATTTTCCAAAAAAAAAATTAATGTACAGATTCGACTCAGTTACAATTTTATATACTATGTATAGATAACCTTGTTTAGACTGTCACCTAAACGAAACAAATACTTTAGGTCGAAAATAAGAGTTCATAATAGGCCCTAAGTTCTAATTACTTTAACGATTATGAATATATTTAGACTAGCGAAAAAAATAAATCTATCCCACGGGAACCGTACATTTTTCCGGGATGATATATCACCTATAACTTTCCTCAGTTAACGGGCTATCTAGTGCAAAAAGAATTTTACAAATCGGATTAGTGGTTCCCGAGATTACTGCGTTCAAACAAATAAACTCTTCAGCATTATATATTAGTATAGATATACATTATACAAAACACAGGCTAATGATTTTATCAGGCTTGCGACTTGCCAGGAATCTGTTAACGGAAATAATACACGCTTCTAATTTTTATTACCCGACCCTTTTAAAATGATGATTTTAAACTTATTTCTGATTTTTTAAATAAAACTATCTTTTCGGATTTTTTCGCGAATTTATTTTGATTTTTGGTTCCCGACGTTTCGAATGCTTTACAGCAATTATGGTCACGGGAAATCTAAATCTAAGAAAGTATTATTATTGATTGTTTAATACATACATGTAAATTCAAATTCTTTTTTTTTTAAACCTTTTGTTGAATGACCGCATCATTTGATTCATTTAACAAGTCCTACACATAACAGTTGATCAAAACCGTGTTATTTTCAGTAAAAAATTTTCTTTGAAAATATAATATGGCGCCGAAAATTGGCCATTTTATTTTTTTGAAATTTTGGTATACCCAGTATCTCTCATAATTAAGACCGACTTAACGACATCTCTCAAGCTAAAATCCATCAAGCCATTTAGATCAAAAAAATGTACATACATACATACACTCGAAAAACATAACCCTCTTTACAACGGGGAATAAATAACCGTTAATTCCAATAAAAGGCGAGCTTGTAAAAATAATTTATTATAAAAAAAGTCAGTTATCCTTTTGTTTGTGTATGTGGGAGACGATAGCCATCGCCCCGCCCGGGATGAACCGCATGAAGTTGTCCGCAGTGAGGGGACCCATCGCGTACAATCCCGCGGGACCGTTCAGGACCTCGTGGGTGCTCTTGTCTATCGCCACGGGATTGCTCCGTCCGTCCACCGGCCTGTCCGGGTCCACCCCGAACCCTATCCCGTCGCTGTAGGGATTGTCACAATCGCACGCATCTTCCTTATTACAATCTGGTAAACATTTGGTCTCACTCCCATTTAATTCGTAGTTCAAATATTTAGACTTGCACGTTTGTATGCTTTGTTCTAGAACAGTCTTTAGATAATGCCAGTGATGTTGAAGAAACCATTGCTTTTGATTTTCGTTTCGTTTTTCCAAACATTTTATGCATTTTTGATTTAAACTTATATCGAAATTTGTTTGTAAAAAGAACAAATCTGGTTTGGAACCTATAAGAACAGCTATGAGTGTGACCGTTATTTCGACTGTTTCGTTTGTGATGAGGTTTAGCAGTTTGACTTTTTTCAGGGTTAGGGTCTCGTCGTCTATTTCGTCGCGGAGTTTGGGGGATGGGGTGGTCTCGTGGGGTGAGATGGGGGTGATGTCGAGGACCGCGTGCTCGGGGTAGGGCGTGTAGTCAGGGTGGTTGCCGGTGGGTCCGTCCATCATCATTTTGTATACCTGCGAGTGGAAAATAAATGTTATTATTGTAACAAAGTTAGTAGACGTTGGTGTGTGATTTTGCTTTAGTTCTTTTGTATCCGAACGGAAAATTCGTCGTCTTATTCTTTTTTTATAGTATTACAAAATCTAGTCAAGCTATAATATAATATTACAGTTAATATGTTTTTAATCAGCCGGACGCGAAGACACCTGCGAGGTGTACCATACGGGTTGCTTTTGGTTCTTTTGTGAGAGCAGAAAGGAAGGATACACACAGTTTTAAAAACACGATTGAAAACTTAAAATTAAAAAATCTGGATTAAAAACAAATTAATTTTTTTTTTGTTTTTTTTTTGTAAAGGTCAACCAAAAACAAAAATTTAAAAAAAAGTTGAATTTCGACCATTATTAAGAAAGTTATGAGTAGAAAACCAAAAAAAGAGCAGACTTTTTGAAAATTCGATATTTTTGAACCAGTGATCAAAAAATTCTCAAAATTTACTAGGAAGCCTTAAGAGGTACTAAAAAATACTAAAATATTAAGAAAATCTAATATATTTTTTTTAAACCGTCCGATTTGGCGTGGAATGCCCCATACGTATATTAGGGTGGAGCGAAAAAAAAAATGTTTGTTAGTCTCTCACCTGGCAGTACTCGGCGTAGTGGTTGGGCGCGAGGCGCGCGAGCGCGGCGGCGGCGGCGCGGTGCAGGTGGCGCACGCGCAGGCCGGCGCCGCGCGCCAGCCGCACCGCGTCCGCCGCCGACACGCCCGACCCCACCACCAGCACCGTGCGGCCCGCTGCGGGGGGACAACCGTCTTATTAATAATCATAATAATCTTAGCTAGTGACGTAGCTAAGGCAGAAATTTTAGTAGAGGTAAGCCGTTCAAAAAAAAAACACAAATAAACATTGATATACAATTTTTATATATCAATGAAAAAAAAAATAAGTAATTGTGACGATATTTTTTTTTTCTTAATAAGACTATTATATTTTTTAAAATGTATGTAAAATATTCTAGCAAAATATATTACATACATACACTTAATAAAATAATAAAACCTCACAAATAATTATTAATAACGCCATCTATGAAAAATCATTAGGCATCACTTAATAAGTGAAAGTGCGGAAATTTGATTTAAGAACGCATTCTTTTATTTTTGTTTATGATGAGTATTTTTTAAAAACCTGAGTAGTAAGTTTACTTTTTTGGGATTGAAACATACTTTTATTTTGTTAATTTTACATAAACAAATGTAAACAATATATTTTAACTTAAAACCGCCATCTACTGTCATGTCGTAAAACTACTTCGTCTTACTATGAGATTAATTTATTTTTTATTGAATTTTATTATTTATTTTTTTGTAGATCAGTGCGTATGCGTAAAATGCTAAAAATGAACGAAGTCATGTGGTAATGTTCAATCCAAAAGTATGAATGATAGACCATTTAGTATGAACGCGGTAAGCTAAAATACAACGTCTTATCGTCACATGTCTATAAAGAAACGCCTGAGCAATTTGGAACGCAAATACATAATTATGATTTTTTGTAGGCGTTATATTATTTTCAGAAATTGAACGTAGTAATAATAAGTTGATTTTTTAATTACTAAGTTTATTCAAAAAATAAATATTTATAATGAACGATGTTATTGGGTCTGTTAAAGGTAAGACGGCGGGAATCGTCTTGAATGGACCCCGGTAGCTATGTTAATGCAACTAATGCGTTCGCATGGAGCCTCCTTGAATCTTAATGAGTCCTTTAAAATATACTGAAGACCATAATGGTCGCGACATCTGGCGAGGCAAAAAATCTTACCCATTTGTAATGTCCAGGTTTGGCAAGAGTATGAATCCGACAGATATCCATAAAAAAATGAGCGTCATTGACCACTCACCATCATCGCAGTCGCCGCGCGTCCGCCGCGCCGCGAGCACGCGCACGGCGCGCTCGACGGCGTGCAGGTCGCGCGCGCTCAACGCGGGCGCGGCGGGCGCGGCGGGCAGCGTGTTGGGGCGGTCGCCCGCGCCCGCCGCTAGCACCACGCGCCGGCACGCGTACGTGAACCCGCGGGACGCACTCTTGTCGTAGCTGGACATATTTACGTGAGTCAAAGTTAGCTTTATCGCAGATCACCGTCGATCTAAAAAGTACTAGGTACACAATCAGCGACAAAAACATCAAGAACAAAGAACAAACATTTGAGCGCGCTTTTAATTTAAAAAATCGCTTCGCTCAGGTTTGCTACTATGTGTTTATATAATGTTGTTTATACAAAAATACTAAAATCGCGATTAGAAAATGGGGGGGGGGGGTGGGGGTGTTAGGGTTGGAGGGTCAAAAATAATTTATGACTTATTCTCAAACGTACTAAATATACAAAAAAGAAATTCTTAAAATCGGTCAAATCGTTTCGAAAGAGTACGACCACAAACACTATGAAACGAGATATTTATATCTATACTAATATTAAACGAGAAAAGATATGTTTGTTTGTACTAAATAGGCTACAAAATTACTGAACCGATTTAGATGAAATTTGGAAAGAAGATAGTTTGAGGCCTTGGGAAGGACATTGGATACTTTTTATCCTGGAAATCATCCCCTAAGGGCGTGAAAATGAAGATGAGAGTTTGTATGGGGGAAGCAAGCTACCTGGAAGAACCCGAGCGAAGAGAGGGTGAGTCGCTAGTATTAGATATATTTAGTAAACTCACCCGGACACCAAGAAGGCGGCGTTCCGGGGGCAGGCGGCGCGGCACGGCGGCGCCGGCGGCCGCGGCGCGCGACGCACCGAGCTCACCGTCACGCCACACCGGAAGAACCTCTGTCACATGCACATATACAGTATCATTATCATGTTATCATTATTTACATATTTAGATGGTAAGATGGTTTTCTATTAGCAATTAATAAATGAATAAAAAAATATGTCTCGGTGATCTAATTGCTAGTGTATGTCTGTTGACAGGTTCTGGGTTCGACTCCCGGGTCGGGTCAAGTTTACATAGTTGTGAAAATTTTCTTTAAAAAAATCTATAATGGCCCGGAAATGGAAAGATTGTGGTGTTACGCTCTCGTCCACGAACTACACGTCTTGCGTCATTCCTGCGTTTAATTATTGCCAAAAAATAGTATCATAATGTTTACAGTAAAACGCAACGTCGCGAAACAACCAAAAATTGAAATGAAATGAAATTTATTTAGTATAAAAATTCTTATATGTATAGAGTAAAGAACTATGGCTATGATGATACTGCAAAAATAACAGCGTTGCAGATATCAACGCCCGCCTCCGTACACTATGTAAACTATTATTTCTTTAATTTTATTTAAAAAAGAAAGCTCGTCCGGTTCCCGTCAGTGGCCAAGGGTGAAATTTTAGCAGAGGCAAGTCGTTCCAAAAATATGCAATTGTATTTCCAAAAGAACAATTATACGTTTAAAAAATGAAATGTATGTAAAATTATAGCAAAATAATATTTAAGGTAAGACATGTTGTGTGGAGCCATACCTGTATCCCGCAGGCGTGCACGTAGCGGCGGCAGTAGGCGGCGACGGCGCGCGCGGGCACGCGGCCGCGCGCGCCGTCCGCGTGCGGCGGCAGGCACAGCCACGCGCCCGGCGACAGTGAGCGCACGCTGCCCGGGAACGTGTGCCAAGCGCCGCCCGGCGGGCCCTTGCCCAGCACTATGTGCTCGATCTGACGGCAACGGATACGTGTGATAAATTAAAATATACTTTAATCAAATAGACTTTTACAACCACTTATGAATTGTCAATTTTAAATTAAATGTCAGTGTAGTCAGTCCGTGAGGAATCTACCACAGGCTCGGAAAGCAGTTCTGCTGAGAAGAACCGGCGAGAAATTCAACAGTTGCTTTTTTGAAATAATAAAATAATAATTATTATTATTATTATAGGGCAAAAATAGTTAGAATAGGGTAAACATACTTGTAATAGAACAAAAAATAGTTGTAATAGGGCAATAATAATGAATGTGTGCGGCGCACGCGTTTCCTGACGGACCCTTGCCTAGGGGTATATACTCGATCTGACAGAAAAACAGACATAAAAACTTCTAACAAATGTTTATAGATGGCGTTTATTACGCAAAGCTAGAATGTGGAGACTAACATTGCACTTTCCAACTTGGTATATTAAACTGACAACTTACGCTCGCTTAGATCGGGTGCTACTTGCTAGATGCCTTGCAATAGCCTGTGTGTTATTCATATATAACCTATCTGTGCACTAAACAGCCAAATCCGTCCAGTATTTAAACCTGAAGGAGCAGCACTGTCATTGTTATCAATAAAACTTGCCAAAAGGTGGCACTACCTGTATATAATATTGTAAATACTAAAGGCACAACAGGTAAAAGTAAGATGCTGCTATCTAATGTAAAGTAAAATAATTTAGTTCCTATAACGTTGTAACTTTACTCCCTTGTCTCTGCACAAAGAAAATCAGGCCGCAGGCCGCCAGGTTAAGCAAATACATACAGCGAACTTCACATGTCTTTGAAAAACTATTTAGATTTATCACTGGGACGGATAATCTGGCATTTTAAGATATATTTATCTATACATATAATAAAATTGTACCTAAGCCGAATTTGTACATTAGATATTTTTTGGAAAATCTAATTGAAATAAACATTATTATCGATACAGAGGGCCGAATCTATGGTTTTTAGAATTTTTGTCTGTCTGTCTGTCTGTCTGTCTGTTACCGCATCATTGAAAAACTACTGGACGGATTTTGATAAAAAAAATTATGGTGATAGCTGGTTATCCGGGTCAACATATAGTACACTTTTTACCGCGGGAAAATGTCTCATTTCTGAGAAAAAATACAAAAACTGCACTGTAAGAGTATACTAATATGTAAAACCTTAGAATTTGGTTTTTGGTCATCTGAACGCGGACGGAGCCGTGGGCAATGCTAGTATGACTTAAATGACAAAAAAACGAACATTACATACCTGTTTTTCCACATCGTATCTCCATTCAATCAACGAATCTTCTTCTACACCTAAATCTGCACCTGGTCGGAGTAATGTATCAACCTGGAGAAAAAAAATTGGTTTGTCAAATATTTTAGCATTAATGCTGTTTTTTATCATATTTTAAATAAATGTTTTTCGTGGTTTTATTTAGATTTTTGTTTTTCAACAAACATGGTCATTAGAAACTAAAGATATTATGTACTATACAGCCTAAAGAGTAAAGACGTTTAAAAAGTTAAGTTTTTACAGATTACAGACGGCGTCTATACACAAAATTATACAACAATTTGAAATGGCATCGTAGTAATTTACGAACATTCTTTTTAAAATTTTAAAAATCAAAAATCCAATACAATAGTTAATTTTAAACTAGCGACCTACCCTGGCTTTGCTCGGTTTCGTCCCTAGGTACGTTTTAATTTTTTTAAGCGTAATCCTATTTCTTTTTCTCAAATAACAGTAGCCTAAGTTACTCCTTATAACATCAGCTATCTGCCAGTGAAAGTCCCGTCCGAATCGGTCCAGCCGTTTCGCATATTAGTAGGAATAAAAAGACAGACCGACAAAAAAAAATGTTTTTTTTTTTCATATAAATAAAAACGAAATGTGTACCCAAAAAAATATCAAAATAAATCCGCGAATAAGAAACATTTTTCTTTAAAAAAAGACGAATTGTTATTTTTTGGTTGACATTTTTTTAACTCAAGATATTCTTAGTTTGTAGTTCGATATTCCATTGTATGTAGAATGTATTCGTAAAACATATGAATTTTAATTTTTAAGGACGATTGCATTATTTATTTATGTCAGTCGTGTGTTGTGCCTTCGTATTCAAACCTAACGGTTTTCTTTCGGCTTTCTTGTATTTTTATTTAAAAATATTATAATATTATACAGACAGAAGTCACTTTGACCGTTAAAGTCATTATTGAGTCCGTATTGAATGAATCTACAGGTAATATAAGCATTTCTTCAAATAATATTAATAGACTAGCGACTCAACCTCGACCCGCTCGGGTTCGTCCCTGGAACGTTTAGTATGAATCTCTCAGAGATGAGATATTTTTCCGCAGTAAAAAGTACCCAGATAACCAGCTATCATCATACCAAATTTCATCATAATCTGTCCAGTAGTTTTCTCGTGATGCGTTCCCAGACAGACATACAGACAGACAAACAAACATTCTAAAAAGTATAGATTCGGCCTCTGTATCGATAATAATGACTATTTCAATAAGATTTTCCAAAAAATATTTCATGTACAGATTCGACTAAGTTAGAATTTTATTATATGTATAGATGGCGTTATTTGTATTAATTTATTATTGGTTTAACTTAATTGGTGTTTTTGCAAAATTAAAAATTAAAACATTCTCCCAAAATGATGCCTTTTTTCAAGAAAGTACTCTATATATTGGAAAATGAAATAATAGATATACGTATACATATATAATTGGTACTGATTACAGAAAAAAAAACTAAGCCATTAGGTGTTATGTTCTATTTCTAATCTATGAAAACGATCACAGATTGCGTTGTTTATTTATGCGAAGTATTTACTACGTTTAAATTCAATGTATTTATAATTTAATTAAAAAAGATTTATCTTATATTCTACATATTACAGTGCGTACCTACATATTTATTATTTTTTTCAGATCAACGACATTTATCGTTTATTTGAGCAAACAAAAATAATCTAGTAGGCCGAATTAGTATAGTATGTATTGCACCATTATAAATTAAGGTATTGAGGCAGTGGTAGCCCAGTGGTAACGCGCTTGCTTGGGCAATCGAGTCAAACGGGTTCAAATCACAGACCTCGCACCTCTGATATTTGCATGTGCGAATCATTTTCAACATGATTACTACTTCTCTTACGTTGAAGGAAAACATCATGAGGAAATCTGCATGTCTGAGAGAACCTAGCAAGTTTTCGAAGGATATGTGAAGTCCGCCAACCCGCACCTGTCCAGCGTGGTGGACTATGGCCTGATCCCCCTTGTATTGAAAAGAGGCCGTGCCCAGCAGTAGGATGTTAAAAAGTTAAATACAAATCAAATAGCACCAAATATTTTCTTTCGTTATTTCTAAAAACAGTTACTAAGGGAATCTAATCTGCACTAGCCGTAATGAATGCGTGTTTGCACAAAACATTTATAAGCTACTAGCATTGCCCACGGCTCCGCCCGCATTCAGATGACCATTAACCAAATTCTTAGTTTTTTACATATTAGTATACTCTTACATTGCAGTTTTTGTATTTTTTCTCAGAAATGAGATATTTTCCCGCGGTAAAAAGTATCCTATATGTTTACCCGGATAACCAGCTATCGCCATACCAAATTTCATCAAAATCCCTCCAGTGGTTTTTCTGTAATGTAACAGACAGACAGACAAAAATTCTAAAAGCTATAGATTCGGCCTCGGTATCGATAATAATTAATCTATTTCAATAAGATTTTCCAAAAAATATTTAATGTACAGATTCGGCTTAGTTACAATTTTATTATATGTACAGACTACTACTTTATTTGAAACTAGATTAAGATCGAGGCTTCGCGGATATTTATTTTAAAGGTCATAACCTATGTGCAGAAGAAATAAAGTTTTACTGCTTCATTGATTGTAATAAAATCTTTATATTACTAGCGACTTCACCCTTGCTTTACTCGAGTGCGTTCCTAGGTACCTAACCTATATGTTATTCCAGTCTAGTCATAGTCTATCTGTGTGCTGAGTTATATCAAAATCCATACAGCCATTTCAACGAAGGAGTAACAAACACACACATACAAACTTTAAAATAGCATTTATTACTCGTACGGTTTCTATTGAAACGCAAATGACGGAAAATGTATACAAACAAGTAAAGGAAGTACATAATATGTCGTGGTTTATTCGTTGAAAGATTGTAAAAGGAACTCTATTATGGGATATGCATTAATTACGTGAACTCAAAATGGTGGGGATGGAGGTTTGGTAAAATCTCATTAAATCTCATTTAAACTGAGGAGGTTAACTTTCAAATAATATTAGGTAATTTTTCTTTCGTTTTCTTCGTAAGTTTCCTATTTTGGCCCCCTGCGAAAATCTCATGGCTATTATATAAAACAATTATTTCGAGGGCACCTGCACGTTGTATTATTATTATTATTAACAAATTTACCATATGTAAACATAAATCTTACGTGATGGGAAGGGGGTGGGATCGGTGGGATTCCCCGGTCCCACCAAATCTCACCAAGAGGGAGAGAGGGGACCAAAATATGAGAAAAACAGTTCACGTTATTAATGATATCCCATAATGGTAAATAAAAAGATATTCTACCGGTGAGTTGCAGACATGATTCACAATTGACAAACATGCTATAGACGGATAGATCCGCAGACGTTTAATAATTCGTATTGTTATTGTATGTAAAGGCGTACTGTAAACTGCATTCGTTGGTTCCGAAAACGGCCGCTAGGGATTTAATACAGCCTATGAATATTACAATGTATAGTAAGAATTGTAATTATATTTGTGTTTGTGTAAAACCACATTTTTTTTAAATAGACAAAGTTTCTATAGAATCAATTTTGCTATAAATTACCACTAGATAGCGTTACTACGCATAAATTTCTAAACATGAAAAACGCATGATTATTTAATACAGACAAAACCGCAGGAAAAGGCTATTAATAGTGTGTAATTGTAAAACATGTCTGTCTGTTGGTCTTTTGTAAGCAACAAATCAGGTATGTAGATTTTATGTCCAGAGAAATGTTATGAGGTGGTGAGTATTGTTATTAGTTTACTTTTACCGATACATCAAGCGATTTTCGTGGGCATTTTAAAATTTTTATAATGTACGTATAACCGTCCTCATAAAGCTTAGATAAAACTTCTAAAAAAAAAAAGAAAAGGCCTTTTTGTTTGTACCGAATAGGCTCCGAAACTGCTGGACCGATTTAGATGAAATTTGATAATAAGATAGTTTGAGACCCTGGGAAGGATATAGGATAGTTTTTATCATGGAAATCATCCCTTAAGTGGGAGAAAATGGGGATGAAAGTTTGTATAGGGAAGCAACCTAGGAACGAACCGGAGCGAAGCGATGGTGTGTTGCCAGTACAAAAATATAAGGAAAATTTATTACTAAATACAATACAATAATACATAGCAGTCTGTACCTATATAGACATATGTAAATTTGATATCGGTTATTATATGTGCATAATGTACGCCAATAAATCATGAAAAAAAGTTGAAAGGAACAAACAGGTTTTGCACGATTACTTGCATTTTTTGTATAGCCCATGACCTCGCTGAGTTACAACGAACTTGAGCGGAGGTTGAATAACTAGTAAATTATACAAATTAATCATTATTTGACGTTTGACCGACTATTAAAAATAATAAATCAATTTAAATTTATATTTTTTTATAATAGGTTAATGGTAATACGGACAGAATTAAGCAATATATATGTAAATCTTTTATCCAAATATAACTATTATGTTATAAATTATAATACATTTACATATACTATAATATAGTAGATTTATTTTTTTAGTATATTATATTTAGGATAGTATAATATAAATTTAAAATAAAACTAGATTTTCGGATTTTTTGATTATTTCGCGGATTTATTTTCATTGTTGATTCCTGACATTTCGAAAAAAAATCCGAAAAGTTTTTTATTCTTGAATGTCAAATTTTCACGAAAATTATATTCATACATATTATATACTTTATTGCACTTAAAAAAAGTAACGAAAAACAAAAATACATAGAAAATCACGTGGATAAAGGTGGAGTGGAGTTACCTCTAAGAGAAATCTCATACAGTCAACCCATGTACATATGTGGGTATTTCCCATGTTAATTAGCGAGACAGAAAGAGAAAGTGCAAAGAGAAGAGAGAAAATATATAAGAATAAGCGTATGTTAAACAAAATGAATACAATGTATAAACATATAAATATATATATATATATATATACATATATACACACTATAATCCTTATATAATATGTAAGCATAAAGACATAAAAACAAATATGTATTATAAAAACACTACATAAACATCATTACAAAGCAGAAATATATGTTTTTTAATGACCTAGAAAATGTTTTTATTACATATGTATAAAATAAATAATAATAATGTTGTGTGTGTTGTGTTAACAAGAGTAGTTTTATATAAGGTCTCATTCGTATTATTTTTCTTAAAATAATATATATTTATATAAGAAAAGCATGATCATAATAATAATAGTCAATTGGTACAATCTATACATAATATAATAAACTTCTGAGTCAAATCTGTACATTAAATATTTTTTGGAAAAATCTTATTGATATTATTATCGATACAGTGGCCGAATCTATAGTTTTTAGAATTTTTGTCTGTCTGTCTGTCTGTCTGTTACCGCATCACAGAAAAACTACTAGACGGATTTTGATGAAATTTGGTATGGTGATAGCTGATTATCCAGGTCAACATATAGGATACTTTTTACAGCGGAAAAATATCTCAATTCTGAGAAAAAATACAAACACTGTAATGAGACCGTGAGTATACTAATATGTAAAACCTAAGAATATGGTTTTTGGTCATCTGAACGCAGGCGGAGCCGCGGGCAATGCTAGTCGTTACTAATACTATAAGTTTGCTTATGTGTCTGTCCGTCATTTCCTCAGTAATTTTTAATTTTTGTATGAACTCAAAGATCATAAATAACATATTAAATAATTTTATATATTTTTTCTACTCCCTTACATTCGTTTATTGTATATATGAGAATATTCACTTTTATATGTACTTACAATCTATACATATGTAATAATAAAAATAAAATATAATCTATACATATAATAATATTCTAACCAAGTCGAATCTGTTCATTGAATATTTTTTTGGGAAATCTTATTGAAATAGTCATTATTATCGATACAAAGGCCGAATCTATAGTTAGAATTTTTGTCTGTCTGTCAGAGAACGTATAACGAAAAACCACTGGACAGATTTTGATGAAATTTGGTATTATGATAGCTGGTTATCCGGATCAACATATAGGATACTTTTTACTGCGTGGGAATATCTCATCTCTGAGAAATCTATACTAACCGTTAAAATGTACCTAGATAAGTGTGATGAGTGAGGGTGAGCCGCTAGCACAAATATAAATATTCACATCGTATAAAAAACACTAAAGCTGGTCAAAAGCTACTAAACAAAAAAACGGTTAACAGACAGAGAAGAAAAAGGTTCTAAATTGTTTTGTCTTTGTCTATATTATATATATATATATATATATATATATATATTAGGATTAGGACAAGACATAAAAGGACACAATGAGTACACTAGGGACTTCCCCGTTACTCGAGAGAGTAATTGAGTTAAAACTTTAATATTCCGGTATTATTTTACAAACACCATGTTCTGCAGAAGGGTTTTTACTTTTTCTATGGCTTCGTAGAAACCAAAGACGACGTGGATGATGAAGGTCCAATATCATTTAAAAAATTTTTGTATTGGTATATGAAACGATAACAAGTAAAATCGAATAATACTTTCTTAGATTTACGCGATTATTTTAAATAAAACTATCTTTTATAAATATAAAGAACCTTACAATATGGTGCCATTTTTAAATTTTTTGATTCCATTTTGTTATTTGTGGGTAGGCTGTCTGTAACAATTATAGTACCTTAGACACATCTAACACCTCAGTCTCTCCCGTGACCATGATTGCTGAATCAAAATAAATTCGTGGAAAAATCCGAAAAGATAGTTTTATTTAAATAAATGTGCAATTCACACATCGTAGAAGTGAAACTTCAGAAAATGATATGAATATAGAGTATCAAGAGTAGGATAATCATAAGGATTTTTTTATATTATTTTTACCAAGTTTAAAAGTTATTTTACATTTTATTTGACATAAATATAAACATTACATAATAATCAGTAATGAATTTTATTATTTTTCACTTCCTGTGTAATGTATTCTATCAAATAACAACGGTTACCATGGCATCATCGCAATGTATTCTATCTCATTCTATCGCCGGCTTAATCCTATATATTTATATGTTTGTCTCTTTTTACTACCATGACAACGGTTACTATGGCATCATCGCAATGTATTCTATCTCATTCTATCGTCGGCTTAATCCTATATATTTATATGTTTGTCTCTTTTTACTGTCGCATTTCCGTTGCATCGAGTTTCAAATCACAACGATTCTAAAGAAGTTTCACTTCAAAAGTAAAATCAAAGTCAATGATCTCTCGTGTCTACTCCATTCTACGTGACATTGGCGAAGTAATCTGTACTCAACTGGCACGCTTTGAAGCCATTAACAAGAGAATTGAATTGAATTCAATGATTTTTAATGAGAAAAAGAAATATTTTAAAGGAATTATTCAATTTTGTTTAAGGAAATACCCTATATTTTATAGAATTAAATTTACTCGAATTTTGTGGAACAAAAATAAGTTATTATTGTTATTGTTTGCAAAAAAACAAGCAGCATTGATAATAAAAATGTACGCCCATTTTCGAAACACGTTTAAGTAATCATTTTCATTCGCAAATATATCGAGTAGCATACCCAGAAGAAGCCGAACCGAGTTCCATATTTTTGAAGTCGGTTAAAACTAGGTTTTGACATATGCCGTCTAAGAAGCCTCACATAATATTCTCTAATTAAATTACAAAAAAAAGGGACTCTTCTCCTTTCATTCCCAAAATCACGTATCGAGAAATCAGGTACCGGCTGTACTTTTTAATTACTTAGAATACCTCGAAAGAAAAACCCAATAAGCATATTTGTCCCGATGGAAAATCAAACCCAGAACCTGAGCGAAGAAAGGGAAAGTCGCTAGTGTTATAATTATAAATTATAATCATACACAATACATCTTGTGCAATAAGTAATGAAGCAGTGTGACCTGTGTTGATAATCTCCAGCTATTACAATGCGAGTCATTCATTAATGTTTTTTTTTATATGATAAGACATAAGCTATGTTTAGGTTGGTAACAGTAAGGACTTTTTTTTTTTAAATTAGCATTTCTTATCATTTTTATCATGCCTTATAACTTAGATTACTCTTTTATGTTTTAGACATTTTATTCGCTGCGGCATTTCAATATTAGTAGGTAATAGAAGACTTAGAGGGATGAAACCAAGGACTAAACGCTATGGTTTGCACATAATACACCTACGTAATCTGTTACTATGAATGCGAAATTTTATGTATGTATGTTTGTTTGTTACCACGTCAAACTAAAAAAGATGACGAATTCGAACTTTTGGTACACAAATAGCCTACAATAGATGTATATTGTGTAAATAAGAAGAAGAAAGAAATTATTTTTCTAAGTTTGTGTTGTAATTTGCAAAAATAGAAACAATTTTGAATTTGACGACACGTTTGGCTCAATTTATAGTGACTACTTGCTATGCCAGCGGTAGCGGGTTCGAGTCCCGTTGGGAGTATTCATAATTTTGTGTGATGAGCACGAATGTTTGTAATTCAGTCATGGGTGTTTATATTTATAATATGTATGTATTTAAAGTTATGATGTTCTCTCCTGACGGCAGCCAATCTCATTGAGACTAGCCAACTGCGCAGGAGATATTATAGTGCACAAGAGTACGCGCAGACACAAGTGCACTCTCTATTCCTGTCACTCTCATACTCCGGTGGGACGACAACTCGACACGACCAGTGAGAGTTAAGGCGCAGGACCGACGGCTTTACGTGCTCTCCGAGGCACGGGGGTGAAACACCGCCAACTTCCCAACTCCGGGCTGTTACTGAGGCTTACTATACAGAAAGACTCAATAACTAAACTTGGCCCATTGGCATAGGTACATGCTAGCCACTACACCACCGACGCAGTTAAAGTTGCCTTAAAGTTATATATGTGTAGTGAAACAACTATCTGGTATCCACAACACAAGCTTCGTAGCTTACCATGGAACTAGATGGTGCTGTGTGTTAATGTTCCAACATATTTATTTAATTATTACCACATTTAAAAAAATTAAATTAAGAAAAGAAGAAAGTAGAAGCTTACCAACAAACAGCATTTCATTTTATATATATATATATATATATATATATATATATATATATATATATTAAAATAAAATCGTTTATTTCACACGGAAACAGTACCTATTAATAAATTTCATATAAGTTTATTGATCTACATTTAAAGGTTATCTATTTTTACGAAACATGTTAAGAAGTAGATAGATAACGTTTAATCAACTTAATTTTATTAGTAAACTATCGACTTACCCTCGCTTCGTTTGGGTTTTAATTTTTTTGAGCGGAACCCTATTTCTTATAACATCAGCTATCTGCCAGTGAAAATTTCGTCAAAATCAGTCCAACAGTTTCGCAGATTAGCCGGAACAAACAGACTAATATTTAAAAAATGTGGTTTTCTTATAAGTACCGTAAATAATTTCATTATGCATTTAATCAGAAAACTGTTATTTTAATATTACAAACGGACACTTTAATTTTACTTATCTGTATAGATGTAATTCTTTCAATTCATTTTAGAATTAAGTACGTCTAGAAATAAAAAGAAATGTTTTAAACACTTACTAATAATGGTATTGGATTCTGACTCCTTCCCTCCAGACCCTCTGCTAGTTCCATGAGATCAATCTCCAACAAATTCTGTCCAGGTGGTACATTTTGTAATCTGTAAACATAATATCGTCAAATAATAGCAAAAAGCATTTGACGACTATGAGATAATATATGAGACTAAACGAAATGGGACTCATTATGCCTCATCTATACTAATATTAGGTATAAAGAGCAAAGATTTTTATTGTTTGTTTGTACCGAATAAACTTCGAAACTACTGAACCGATTTAGATGAAATTTGGTAAGAAGATAGTTTGAGACCCTGGGATGGACATAGGATAGTTTTAATCTCGAAAATCATCCCTTAAGGGGGGGAAAGTTTGTATGGGGAAGCAACCTAGAGACGAGCTCGAGCGAAGTGAGGGTGAGTCGCTAGTTAGTAATGACTTTGACTTGCCAAAGCGGATCACCATAGTGAGACTAGCCACTTGCGCAGGATATATAGTGCACAAATCTGCTAACATAAGCTCACTCTATACCTTTTAGTCAATTGTGATGAAAAATCAACACTATCGGCTATCCATAGCTATTAGACCAATGGCATTACGTGCTCTGCCTTGACACGCCAACTTACCAATTCTTCTTGCCCGACCCAGTCTCGAACCCAGGACCTCAGGATATGCCGCCATAGGTGCTATACACTAGACCACCAAGGCCGTTAAAATTGTCTAGTGTTTTATTAGTACTCCTTTCACAGGACGTGGGTTCGATTTCACACAGCCATTCATAATTTGTTGTATTTATGTACCATTGTTACATCATACCTAATATACATATATAGTATATACACGCCATTGTTTTAGTCTGGTTTAAGCGAACCATGATATTGGGAGAAAACAAGTTTTGCTTCGAAAGTGTTAAAGCAACTGTAAATAATATTATATATGTATGCTAAAAACAGTCGGAGACAGCAGTGATATATAGACAGACAGACACACGATTGGTGATGAGTCAGTTCATTCTTTATGGGTAGAACCATATAAGCTCAATAGTAAAAGTATTCTATAATACCGAAGTCTTTATGTAAAAAATAAAATAATTCTCAGAAAAGACTGCATTTTTGGCTTGCATATTTCATGGGAACTTCTCTAAAGAAAATTTTGTATGTAAATATCTCGGTTATTGCAATTAACAATATGGAACCTTAATCTAGAGTATAACGAACCTGGCTTTGAGCATTTCATCTATTGGCAAAGATTCCGGCACTTCTTTTAAGTAGGGTATATTTCCAGCGAGCATGAACGATGTGACCATGCCGCTTGGTCCATTGCCTGGAACAAAAAAACATAATATTTACAAATGCTTTCCTCTTGACCGAATTCGGCCATGACGGCCAATCTTTATAAAGTAGAATAGTAGAGAGATATTATAGTGAAAAAGTGTTCGCACAGACACAGTGCATCATATATTCCGGGCTGTTAATGAAACTTACTCGTATGTAACAGAAAGACTCAATAGCAAAATTTGACCCGAACCGAGACTCAAATTTAAAATTTTCACATTCAAGTTAATTAATAGTGTTGCTCAACCACTTTCTTACGTTTCCCTTTGACATACAGGTTTCCTCACGATGTTTTCATTCACTGTAAACCGAGTGTTAATCATTAAAAAATGATTCGCGTATGAAAATTTCCGAAGTGCAAAACTCGGGGTTAGAAGCCTCTTCACTTAGTTTTTCAAGCGATTGCCTTATCATTGAGTACGATTTATACTTGGTATGAAGCAATGTCTTACAGCACAAGTAAAGGGAAAAATCCGAAAACTGTAAATTTGTAGTCACATCACAAAAATGCGATTATAAACTTATTTTAATATTTTATGCATACAGAACCCGCAGTGTCGAGTCAAAGTCGAACTTGTCCGATTTTTTTAATCTTTGAAATAATAAATATCATGGCCAGTCAATGAGTGCAATCATCAAAGGTCATTTCGTTATAAGGAGATGGCAGCACGCTTTGTATGAATGATAAATAATTTGTAGCGTTGGTCTGCGTTGCGTTGGTCTATCTGGTACAACCCTAATTACTTTATATTACCGATGCCCATTTGGTGTAGTGATTGGAATATGACTATGTCAGAGGTAGCGGATTCGAATCTCGCTCTATGTAAGTATTTATACTTGCCATATTATATCTATTTTCCTGATCATGTGCCTCGGAGAGCATGCAAAGCCATCATCGCGCTGATTTCTCGTTACGAATTTGTACTTGTGCTCGTATATGGTAATACGGTGTCGAATCGTCATCCCATCGCAGTTTGAGAGTGGAAGGAATAGTGAGTGCACTTGTACCTATGTACTCAGGGTTGCACTATAATATCTAACATGTAGATAGTAGTCGGTGAAATTGGCCATGACCAATAACTTGGGTGCATGTATGTCTTTATGTTACTTTAGATATCTAACACAACCTTGCCATACAAATTAACAGAACGTGTTGAGTTGGAACCGCTATTAAAAATATTTTTTTTAATCTTTTTAAATCTTATCTTTATGTATTTTAAGTTTTATTATATGTTTATATTATTATAACTTATTATCTGAAGCTATTAAAGTTGTATGAAACAATCCACCATTAATGCTTAACATTCTAAGAAGTAATTTTATGTAACAGTCATTCAGTAACTTCATTTTAATTATGATAGACTTGTTATGGTTTTGCTTATGTAAAATAATATACAGGAAAATCAAATCATTATATAAATAATTATTTTCTGAATATAGCTAATGTTATATGTCTCTTAAGACTTTTTAATCAGAGATTTTTAACTTAAAATATAAACTATTAGCAACTCACCCTTGTTTCGTTCGAACAAAGAAAAACAAATCTAGTCCCTGGGAACCATAAATTTTGCCGGGATAAAAAGAAACCTATGTGCTATTCCAGACTATAATCTATTTCTGTGCCAAATTTAACCCCTATCCGTTCAGGCGCTGTAGCGGATTGAGTAACAAACACCCATCCAAACTTTCGCATTTATAATATTTTGTAATATTAATGATCTAAAATAGTAAAGATAAAAAACTATTAAAAGCACACGATTTGGAATAACTTTTATGTATGGGACTAATATCGACTTCCTGACTTAATTCCATCTCTCATACCATCAGCTCGATACTCGCATTCATTATTCGGATTGACAAATTACTCAAATCGATACAATTATTATCGAGAGAATTAGGCTCAGCCTAAGGAATAATTGACCGAACGAGCGAAGCATCCCTGCTTTTTGGTACAGGTCGTTTTTTACGGACTTTTATCTGGACGGAACTTGGTATATAGGGTTTACGAGTTTATAGTTTTTTTTGCCATCGGTGATTTTTTTCTTTCTAAAAGGGGCAAAAAGGAGACTGCTGGATATCTCCGCCTTATGAGATACGATTTCGATGGTTCTTTTTTTATTTGAAGGGTAAAATAAAGTTCGTCTCATAAAAATTTGGTGAAGATCTGATAAGGACCTTCGGTGTGATGAGCAGAATGGCTTCTCAAAACGCAGTTTGTGGTCACGAGCTACTAGTATAGACCGAGTGCCATAGAACTAAACATGAAGCCGAACAAAAATGTACGTGTGCTTCTGGAGTAGAGGAAAATTTCTCCACAAATAAATATTACAAAATATTTTGGTGCGTAAATAAATATTTATTATTAAAATAGATAATGGGTTTAAAATGCGCAACATCGGGAGTAGTAGCATAAACAGCATAATCACGCTTCTATTTTTGACTTTGACATTTTTTTTGGCGGACTCCGTAGAATTCTTTAGTCTGAAGAATTAGGTTAGAATCGGTTACCAAAATTTGATTACATAGATACTACTAGCATAAGTTACAAGTAAGTTAATGAAACAAGTTGACTTATGACATTTAAAGTAATACACGCCGTGTGCCTGATGAGGTTTCTCACCAGAAACCATAATATGAAAGCCAGCTTTCACGTTTTGAAATTAAAAATAAGAACTTTCATGAAAGTTTCATCATTGTTTAACTTTTGTACGTAATGAATTTGCTAAAATTTAGTCCTTGAGTTCGTTGTATAAGTCTTCATGCTTCTAGAAACTGCGCGATTTAAAATGTCAGCAGTCATGTAATGAATGAATGAATGTAAGATTTGTTTTAAGTAAAGAACAATAAATCCATACTAATATTATAAATGTGAAAGTCTGTTTGTTTGTCCTTCTTTCACGTCGAAACGGAGTGACGGATTGGCGTGATTTTTTTGTGTGGAAATAGTTGGAGGGCTGGAGAATGACATAGGCTACTTTTCATTGCGGGAAATTATCTAATTTCTACGGAAAAACACGTTATAATACAATAAAAAAAATTATGATCAGAATTACTTGTAACTTGGTATTAAGTAATGTTTTTCAATAAAATTAAATAAATACGAGTTTTAGATTTTTCGAAATTAATTCTACGAGTATAAGAGGCTAAAATAGGAGATGAAAGTTTGTATGACACTACCCTTTTAGATATTTTTTTGTAGTTTTAGTACGAGCGAAGCTGCGGGTTCTGCTAGTTGTACATATAATAATAAACATATAACTATACACCTATTACTGTTAATGAAACAATTTTTACTATCGATAAATTAAAAACGTGACGGCTGTAAAATTAACAATGTTGCTGTAATATTTATAAAATGTCATTGTAATATTAATTCTTAGAGTTCCGTAGTCAAAGGGTCGATTCGGGACCCTAAAATTAAAAAGCAGTGGATTCAAACATCGTCTGTTTACCATGTTTTAAAATTAACACTTTGCGTGTTATAAGTTGACGTATATTTGTCGAAAAGCTTTACTGGTTTTCCCCATTGGCAATAACAACAGAAACTTATACATAAATTGCCATATTTTGCCGTATCCTTTAGGAGATTTCTCAAATATTCGTCGGACGTAAGTTATGCAACATAGATCCTACCACAAAAACTTACTTTTGACAAAATAGGAGTTTTAGTAAAATTGGTATATCAAAATAACAAGATCGTAGTTTTTTTATAACCCGTTATCTAGGTTACCATGGTTCTATTTTAACTCTACGAAAATGCTTAATATTTTGTTGTATTATTAGCGTCTGTATGTTTCAAAAGAAAAAAAGGCACTTTGCGGCTTGGTGGGATTGAAGGGATACTAAAGTTGGTATGGAGGTGCCATTTATGACAGTAGCTCAAAAAACGGTTTTCGTGGGCTTGATCCATTTTACAAAACTGCGTGTAATTGTCTCGTTAGTGGCTAGTATGTACGAGTGCAGAACAGAAGGTCCTGGGTTCGAGTCTCGGGTCAGGTCAATTATAGTTAGTGGGGTATTCTGGACTGAAATCCTTAGTAATAGCCCGGAGTTGGTAAGTTAGCTTATGCCGTTAGTCATGCACCTCATCTCTTACCAAACGTATGAAATTCTCGTTCCACAAGATAAGACATTGTGAAGAGATACTATAAGATTCCTTATTTAATTCAACGATTAAGGTAGTTAGTTAAAAGTAGCAAAATTTAATAATGGGATAATTTAGATAACATGTAATTGTACAATCTACTTTAAAAATACTTAATATACTTCTATTTATCTATATACCTATCTAATATCTATACTAATAATACTTTCTTAGATTTACGCGAATACTTGACATTTTTAATAAAACTATCTTTTCGGATTTTTTCGCGAATTTATTTTGATTTTTGGTTCCCGACGTTTCGAATGCTTTACAGCAATCATGGTCACGGGAGAGACTGACAGTCTCTATTATCTTATTTAAAATATCTATACTAATATTATAAACAGGTAAAGTTTGTGAGTTTGTGACGTTGTAGGGGGTAATCTAGGGATCTACTGAACTGATTTAGATGAAATTTGGCAAGAAGATAGTTTGAGACCCTGGGAAGGAAATAGGATACTTTTTATCCCGGAAATCATCCCTTAAGGGGGTGAAAATGGGGATGAAAGTTTGTATGGGCAATCCAGCTAGGGACGAACCCGAGCGAAGTGAGGGTGAGTCGCTAGTGACTATCTATATAAATAAAAAATAATTGTTGTATGTGTGTATGCGCATCACTTCAGAACGGCTGCACCTATTTGGCATTTTTTTGTTGTTTGTAATATTGTCAGGATAAGTTTTGTATGAAAGAAAATGTTTGAAAAATTAAATGGAAAACTGATTTTTTTTGTTGAAAAATCTTTATATAAAAAAAATGAGCGAGTGAGTGAGACAAGACAGTGGGGAGATCTTGAAAAATATCGACACTTACCGATAACGACTACTTCTTTGTATATCACATCGTCTGATATAGTGTGTTGGCAAGGTTTCATTCCGTCCCTCATGATTTCGTAGATGGCGCTTATCTTTTATTAATAAATAACTGAGTATTATTAGAATGTTGTTTTAAATGCGTTTTCTCACATATATATCACACGCAGTTTAAAGTCTTACGGACTTGTCTTAAGATAAATGGTGCTTGGTAGGTTTTATCAATTTCTCAGTGATTCTTCTAAAGTGCGGTGATGTTCTGAAACAAAAAGAAGATAAGAATTAGATTTTGTGTACTAGCCTTTTTTTAATATCTCACTGCTGGGCACGGGCCTTCCTTCAATATGAAGGAGATCAGGCCATAGTCCACCACGTCAACATACACGTCACATGTCTTTTGAAAACTTGCTAGATTCTCTCAGACATGTAGACTTCCTCACGATGTTTTTCTTCACCGTAAGAAAAGTGGTAATCATGTTGGAAATGATTTGCACATGAAAATATCGGAGCTGCGAGATTCGGGGTTTGAACTCGGTTAACTCGGGTTCCTAAGCGATCGCGTTACCACTGGGCTCCCACTGTCTATGTCTATAAATATTTTTTATCGATTCCATAAAGGTACTCGATTTTATCACCAATTGAGAATTGATTTTCATATTTTTTTAAATCAACGAACTTTTAAATAATTTTTACGTCAATGTACCTTTTTAAAGTAACTATTATGTAAAAACAAAAAGCAATTGTTATTATGTACCATTAACGTAATAAGTATAAGTCATTCTCCTGTTGGTTTCGATTGAAAAGCTTATGTATTAGGTATGCTAAACTTATTATATTCTAGCATTGCCCGCGGCTCCGCCCGCGTTCAGATGACCCAAAACCAAATTCTTAGGTTTTACACATTAGTACACTCTTACATTGCAGTTTTTGTATATATAATATCCATTTTAATACTTTAAAAAATTGGCAATTATAATGCAGTAATGTAAAACTATTTAGTATTTACACAAATACGGTATTAATTCTTATCATTTTAAATAAGTTAGAGGCTTTAAACAATTCATGCTCATTATTTTACTTTTTTACACCATATAATTTAAATGAATATCTTAGGAGTAGCAAGCTTCTATTTATGTTTAAACATAGCTAACCGTGATAAGTATATTGTAATGTAAGATATGTATATTGTTTATATATGCGTAAACAAATTACGTAGTACACTTATACACTAAAAAGGTTAAACAGATTTGGATAAAATTTAGTATACACATAAACTAGTACCTGGAGTATCATAAGGGCAGTAAAGGTACCCGAGCGAAGTGAAGGATTTAGTATGTGATAAAACAATATTGTGTTATCATCTCTACTTATAATAGCTTGATGTTAAGATGATAAGTAATCGAAGTGTTTCCTGTATTACTTTTATCTGATAGTGGAAAAACCTGATAAAATACCGAGAATCGAAGAATTTTTTGGGTTAGTATGTATACTGAGCCATATAAACCTTTCTAGTGGTGTTAAATTCGTATATAAAACAATCACCTCTGACATCTTTTATCATCCTCATGAGCCTTTCGTTTGACGACACGTTTCGCTCAGTTTGTAGTGACTCTACTTGCAGTGCTAGCAGTCGCGGGTTCAAGTCCCGCTGGGGGCATTCATTTGTGTGATAAGCACGAATGTTTGTACTTCAGTCATGGGTGTTTACTATTTATATTTATAATATGTATGTATTAAAAGTTATATATGTGTAGTGTATCAACTATCTGGTATCCATAACACAAGCCTCGTAGCTTACCATGGAACTAGATGGTGCTGTGTGGTAATGTCTCAATATATTTATTCATTTATTTCGCAAGGACGATCAGGCTACAGCCCATCACGCTGGTAAAATGAAGGTCGGTCACAGTCCTTCGAAAACTAAGCCCTTTCCATATACAGGTTTTTTCACGATGTTTTTCTTCAGCGTATAAAACAAGTGGTAATCTTCAGACGTACATACGAGATCGTTTGAACATGAATTTTTAAGTGAGCTCGTAAATCAGCTACTACTTAAAATTGGACTACTCTTAAAATTCGTAGGTTCCCATATCTACCATGAAAAAATTATACCCTTATAGAATCACTTATGTATCTATCTGTCGCTATCTGTAGCAGCATCTTTCACGGCTTTACACACGACACGCTCTTAACTATTTATTATTTCATACAGAAGTTTAACCTTTTAATTACAAATCAAGTTATTTAATATTGCCTCATTGCATATTATACTCGTCAATGGGGAAAAATATACATATTTTTTTTTATAAATTCGTTTCATTTTCTCGAAACTATAAATATGCAATTTGAACCAACTTCTTCCACCACAAAAATGGAAGTCAGTTTGCCTTCTATTGCGCAAGTCAATACCGAATAATACGTATATTAAAGTAGTCTATTAAACTCAATTACTAACACCTTGCCCTATAAAAGATTCATTAACTTGAGCAATGAAATTTATACGTTCTTAGTTTAAACGTCTACATAAACTCTGATTCATATTACCTTTATTAGGTACGTATACTATAATTTAATACATTTATTACATTTAGTAAGAATTTCCTAATCTATACAGATAAATAACATTCGTGTCTGTTTGTAATCTATAAATATAATAAAATTGTAACTAAGTCCGAAGCCGAATCTGTACATTAAATATTTTTTGGAAAATCTTATTGAAATTAACATTATTATCGATACAGACGCCGAATCTATAGTTTATAGAATTTTTGCCTGTCTGCCTGCCTGTGTGTCTGTCTGTCTGTTACCGCATCAGAGAAAAACCTCTGGAGGGATTTTGATGAAATTTGGTATGGTGATAGCTGGTTATGCGGGTCAACCTATAGGGTACTTTTTACCGCGGGAAAATATATCATTTCTGAGAAAAAATGCAAAAACTGCAATGTAAGAGTATACTAATCTGTAAAACCTAAGAATTTGGTTTTTGGTCATCTGAACGCGGGCGGAGCCGCGGGCAATGCTAGTGTCAAAATAAAAGCTGTTTACTAAATGCATATGAAATGATATACAATATAAGAAAACACATTTTTTTTTAATTTTTTCTGTTTTTTCCGGCTGATCTCTGAAACGGTTGGACTCATTTTGACGGGATTATCACTAACAGATAACTGATGTTATAAGGAGTAACTAAGGCAACTTTAATTTTAGAAAAAAGTTAGAGTTCCGCTCAAAAACCCTAAAACGTATATAGGGACGCACCCGAGCGAAGCGAGGGTAAGTCGCTTGTATATCTACTAAAAGCTGTAAAAATTGTATCAAAATGTATCCCACCATTTTTAAATTGTCTATAGGAAATGAAACAATATTTTTTAACGCTTAAAGCTCACAACAGTTGATATTTGAAAGTTGAAAGTTTTAACAAAACCAGGAGCTTTAATATAGGTATAATACATATGGTAGCGAAGAAATTTCCAGTAATTAATCGTTAAACGCTGTAGTGGGTATAAATTGCGTTCAATTATATCATCCACTCTATAAGATCTCATATGTCACTACTTAAGTACTTATTCACTGCGATGCGAGACGATTGCGATTGCTATAAAACATTGGACTTAATATTTATCTATATATAAATAGGCAAAGTCAAAACAGCTCAGTACTTTTTTCTTTTCTGTTTGTCTGGTTTTTCTTTTTTTTTTTAAGTTGCCATTGACGAGTTTTAGTGTTTTTAATATAAAAATCATTCATTTTTGGAATCAGCTACTTTTTTATATAGATAGGTAAGTTCTATCCATATATGTTTTTCTACCTTTCAAGCTGAAACCCATCAAGCCGTTTAGGCTACAGAGTGTGTCAAAGATTATACATAATACATACATACACTCGCAAAACATAACCCTCTTTCTGGCGCAGTCGGGTATAAAAATCATCGGTCTACTAACATTAATGCAAAAGTTTGTGTGTGTGTTTGTTACTCGTTTACACCTAAACCGAAGGAAATAGACGGATTTGAATGTAATTTAGTACTACTTGGATGTAATTAAGAAATGTATAGTTATGAGAATTTGTTAAAAAGCTATTTTCAAAATATCGATAAGTTTAAAGACGAAACAGACACTAGTGTCGAAAACGAAACGTCACATATAAAAAAAAGTTATAGTTAAGTATCGCCTTGTTAGATGTCAAAGATGATTAAATTCAATTCTTTGTTATTTGCCTTTTAGGCGTGCCATTTGGACACAGATTACTTCGCCAATGTCGTGTAGAATGGATTCAAAGATGATGGTGAAACGAAATTTAATTTAGGGGTTAGTGTGGGGGAGCTTTTAAGCTCTATCCTATCCCATACGTAGGTAGTACTTTAAGGGATGTTGGTGAAAACGGGCACTAGAATACCACATTACGGCTACAGTTTGTCACTACTGGACGCATCCGCCCAAAGCGAGAAACAGACTAGTATCATAATAAGATAAAACAAACTTACACAGACGTACGTTACAATTTATATATGTATTTTATTATCACACTGTAATGGAAATATTTCATAAGAGATTTTAAAATATCGATATCAGCGCGTGCGGTTAGACTGTGGCTTGACCCTTGACTGATATCAATACAACAAATAATAAATTTGTTAGTACATTGTATGTTATATAAATAAACTAGTTAATAAACAAAAAGTACAAAAGTGACGAAGTGAAAACACTTCATAATCACTTTGAAATTTTCATGTATGTATAAATTTCATTTTTATAATAAATAAATAATTTTATAATAGAATATATATATATATATATATATATATATATATATATATATTATATATATATACAGAGATCTTCATGTCTCGTATTCAAATTCAAAATATCTTTCAGCATTAAATTATTACAATTTTTACTGAACGTCATGAGTCTACTACCAGTTCGGAAAGAAGAAGCCTCAGACCTGAGAAGAACTGGCGAAAGAAACTCAGCGGGACTAATTATTTTATTATCTCTTATGTTGTTATCTTTTTTGTATGTTAGATGATCAGATGGCTATAACTCACAGAGACAAGGAGGCTGTGAGAACGGTA